CTGGTCCAAGTGTTTGGGCTGTTCCCTTCTCAAATTCAGCAGTGTATCCATATTCATTTGCATTTTCCTCATTGAAATCACCAGTGTCATTGACATTTTCCTCAAGATCCATAGACACTTTAACTCGTTCTTTCCATCCATCAAGTGCATCTCCAACACTACGCAAAGGATTTGGTTTTGTTTTCTGAATTGAGTCTTCCCTTAGTGGCATAGGCGCATCAAAACGACTATTGCCTAGTTTGCTACCATTTGATGTGTCAGTAACAGGAAGTTCAATGGCAGAGGAATCAGGTAAGCCTCTGATAGGAGCAAGATCATCTTGAACATCACTGGCATCTGACCATTTTGCTTCTGGTACAACATCACCCAAACCTACAGCACTAGATTCTGCATTTGGTTTATTTGCAGATTGCAAAGTTGAAATATCATCATTCATTTGCTCAGAAGTTCCCATTTGCAGAGGTTCCTTTGGCTCCCCAGAGCCCATTGTATCATTTTCATGATCACTTTCTTGGCTGTCTGTCAAATTGTTAGAACCTTTCTCATCCAAAGTTCCATCCATTTCAACATCCTTTTCCTCCTCGTTCTCACTGTCAGCTGGATCTTGTAGTTCTTCCATTACATGATCTTCCATGAGTTCAGTTCCGTTTGCTTCATCTTCATCAAAATCTTGGTTTGGCTCATCAATCTTCAACCCACTAGGATCTGAGTATGCATTGTCTTTGTCCATCATCGCATCTTCCTTGCCGTCAGGAGCAGCTTCTTCTCCATTTTCCACATCTTTTTTGTCAAATTCTTCAGGATTGTTCTCCCCAGCTTCATCAACAGAAACTGGATCTTGCTTAGCTCGAAGCTCCCTATCATTAGTTTCATAGTCTTCCACTGGTGGCCCAGACTCATACTTCTCTTCCATGCCCATGGGATTTTCATCATCACTCTTCTCCCAGGGTTTCTCTTTAGCAATTTCACTATCAGCACCAGTTTCCCCCATTGCAGATTCCAATTGCTCGTCTCCACTGCCACCATAATCATCCATAGGTTCCTCATTAACACTAAGGACATCAGTACCAAAATCATGTTCCATCTCTATTCCTTTATCACTTCTACTTGGAGGATCACTTAAACCATCCTGCCCCTCACAATTCTGTGGAAACAGGGAAAAGAATGTCATGAAGCTTGCGCAAGGATCTTTCTTGAAGGAAAAGAATAGAAGAGAGCAACATAGAAAGTTCTATAACCCTGGGGCTTCCATACCTTTTCAGAAGTCCCAAGAAGTTGATCTTCATTATTTATCTGATCACTGACATCATTTAGTCCTGCACCCTCACCCATACCGGTTCCACTAGCATCTTGTCTTGTTTCACATTCAGATTCCTTAACTTGGTCTTCTGGAATGCCAAATCCTTTTGCAAATAACAAAGCAAAAATCTCTGCAAGCACATAAGTCATGACTGAGACCTGCATACAAAGTAGACCCATTTAGGTAACCAATGTTAATGGAGCATGTATACAAAGGGAGAGAAAAAATTCAAGAAAGAGACAAAAAAGGAGACTCGATTGCTTAATCCAGCCTATCCTTTTACAAGAAAGGCCTTAGGCCACCCATTACACCTACTCCAGATCCCTCTGTAACTAGAATGCGGCACATAAAGGAGACTGGATTGCTTAATCCAAGAAGGCAGAATACATTTCATGTAGCTTAGGTTCACTGCTTTCTAACAGAAGGAAGATTATAAATCAATTGAGATCAGAATGCATTTGACATTCTTACCATCCTATGCATATTGAGAAAATCATGCAGAAGACCATCACCAAAGGCCAAGATCACGTTTAACAATGAGTATAGAATCCTCAAATGTGCTTGAAAAAGAGAGCATGTATTTGTCTTACTGCAATGGTTCAGCTGCTCTCCCTGATAAAGAACTTACCAGTTAGAATTCAAACAGAAATCTGAAAGATATCTTATGAGATCAGTTTTTAATTTAAGACCAGTGATTGAACTGGAAAACTTACAGCATTATTAGTTATCTGCACCAATTTGTCACAGATAAAGTCCAACTTCAAGCGTTGAGTATCTGCTTCGAAAAAGCTTTTCCATTCACTAATATTGCTTGGTGACTCTTCACCAAAAACAGGTCCATTCTTCTGTGAGAGCATCACATGGAATGCATCTGATATACTTCTATATATTTCCTTAAATGGATCCAGGAAGCCCACTCCAATAGTGTTTTCTATATGAAGGTTGGCATCTTCAGAAACATTTTCTGATTGCTTTCTTGCTTTCAAATCAGAACTATACTGTTCGGCCATGAAACTAGCCTGAAAATACATAGCCAATAAATTGTTAAAAGCAGACCACTCTCAAGAAATTGAGAAACAAAAATTGTAATTAATTACGCATATCCATCAATTTACAAATGGAACTTAAAAGTACCTTCTCAAAAACCTCTTCGAAGTGTCCAAGTAATATTGCTTTAACTGTTGCTCCCTCCCTGTCTTCCCTGCTAAAAGCACTGAGGTTGTCCTTAAATGTTCTTATCCACTTGAAGTTGTCATTTACCAATTGTTCCATTTGTTTTGTAACACCATATGGAAGCAGTAAAGCTTCACAAGTGGCTTTAGCTCTGTTATCGCCAAGAAGATGAAGATCCAGCAGACCCTGTTTTGGAAATATCATTAGCTTAGATATGCAAGCATAACATCAATGGGAAGAAAAGTATGAACAAGAGTAAGTACCTTAGAGCTCTGAAGCTCCGGGACAAATTTCTCAATGATGCAAAAAATCTGCTTAGCTGTATCTTTGACGTTGGAACAGGAGTTTAAGTGATTATGCTCTACCTTTTGTACCAACAATTGCACTTCAGATATCATGGTAGACAAATTGTCAAGAAGTTGCTGCAATGAAAAAGGTGAAGTTACAGCAGTCATCAACAATGCAAAAATGACATTTTAGACTATACTGAGCCACAAGTCCAATGTCTACCTTCTGCTGCCACATGCAATTAAATATGACATTTTGGTTCTCAGGAAAGGACCATTCACAACTGGCTGGTCCCAGAAAAGAGTCTGGGAACAAATTTGCTAAAGGCCAAAGACATTCTCTCAGATCTTTAAGTTCCTCCGAAAAATGATAGGCAGCAGCACGTTGATCTTGTTGAATTGCAATGAGGTGATCAAGGAAAGAACAGGACCTTTTAACCTATACAAACAATAGGATCTGAGATGATCAAGAAAAGAATAGGACTTTTAAACAATACAAACAACAGGATTCAACAAAATAATGTGCATTTTAAAGGTGAAAACTCCAGCTCAAACACATAGGAGAAAAAGGTGTAGGTTGTGCTGTTTAACCCGATGCATAATCTGGATCAGAGACGTGTGATACATGCAATACATGTTAACATTTTCGTTGGTCTAAACAGGTTTCAAAATTGTATACAAGCTGGGTTGTTCGTTTCCATGATGGCTCGAATAATGTTGTTACTGTATGCAAGCTCGGTTGTTCATTCCCAAGTTAGTTTGAATGAATTACTTCATTAGAGATGTATAAATCAGTCCATGTACCCGAAACTTTCTTATACTTCATTGCTTGAAAAGATGACAAGTTGATGAATTTGAATGTTCTCAAGCATGACATTGCAATCGTATGAACCAATCTTTGATAAATTTTATGAAGCCAACTCAGATTGAATTGGAATTTCCTTAGTTTATTATTTCCAGGCTAGTCTGTAAACATAACAGTCAAGAACCCAATATTATATGCCTGTGCCAAAAACCGAGCACATATCATTGCGTATTCTCTCGTTCTTTTGTATTTTTTGGGAAAAGGAGGACAAGCTCCAGATGCTTCCTTCAAAGTAAGGCCAATTATTCTTGAGCAATTTCATTGCCCTGCACCTCCCTTAGGAGCCAATGAGTTTGTATCTTTAATTTGATTTAATTGTTTAATTGTTTTTTTTTGGGGGGGCAAAATTCTAACTTGACTGTCACGCTCTTGCACCATTATCATTCTTCTATCCAAGCTTGGGTTTGGTTTTCTCCTAGTAACAAGCACAGAAAGATCATCAGACACTGTGCATATTATGATGGCATTATCTTACTTTGGTTAAACAATGTGTTAAGCAAACTGTTTATGCTCATATACATGTGCACAATATTAACTAAATCTTTTATGCATAGAAATAGATCACCATCCAGTGTTGTGCTAAAGCATTTTGAGAATTGACTTATAAATTTACACTTTAATGAGGAAACTTGGGAGAAATTTCCTCCCATGCACGTCTCACTTTATGGTCTTTGTGCATAGAGAATTGGTGCTTCATTTTATGCTAATAGCTCATTTATAAAATGATTATAGTCAGATGAGGTGATTACTGTTTCTTGAGTGGTTTTAGAAATGATCGAAGTATTAGATACAAAACATATGTGCTTGTCAGTGTTACAATCTATAAATGCTTTTATTGGATTTTCTGCTATTGCTTGATGAGCAGGCAAATCGGATGTCCAAAGTCATACAAGGCATGTTTTCTGTCATTTAAATCTCTTATGTTATATTGCTTTATTCTTCCTGATGAAAACAATTGTAAATCATACCTTTTGTTTTTGTGAACATTCCGCACTTTCAGACATGCTGTATTATCTTAGAGGAGTTAATTTCATACAAAACTTAATGAACAAGATGTTGAGCTTCCGATTTGATGTTGTCTGTCTAAACAAAATATGAACATACTTGTGAAAAATGTGAGATGGGAAGTCTTTTGTTCATTTCATATGGATGTTTTCCTTTGACTACAAAGGAATACTACTCGCAGTTGACAATATATAATGTTTTGAAAAGAAAGGTGGAACCTCTGGAATCACTATATTAGGTAAATTTGGAAAGAAAGTAGAGAATGTATGACAGTGAGACACCAGTACTTTTTAAATTTTTTGCATATAATCCGTTAGTTTTTGTTTTTGTCTTTGTTTTTTTTTTTTGTTTTTTTTGTTTTTTTAAGTTTGGGTTGAGGTGCAACTGGTAGGTAAAAGCATTCTATGAAAGTGGATGTCATGATTAAAAGATCCCCTCTTGAAAATAAGACATTTAATTTGTAAAAAAGTGAATAAATGGAATTTCTTCAAATGATAGCTTTCTATTTATCGTCTTCCACTTTTGCATTGATCTTTAATTGCCTGGTGTGTAAGTTTTTTATTTTTTGTTTTATATTTTTGGTTTGTGCAGGCTGGTGTGGATTGCATGCAAAGCCTGAAGAGGACCCAAGTAAATCAAGTGTTTTATTTCAGGATTACATTTTTCCTTGTTCATCAATTGATTACAGGCAACATGTAAGTCAATTGATGTAGTTTTCTGACATTTATCTGGAGTATTGGATGAGCTTTCAAGTAGTGACAATGTGCTTGTATACTTTCTGTAGGCAACCTATCCTTTTAATTACACTGATCCATACAATCATGGGCTAGTTGCTGCTTATGGCCCTCATTCTGTGGTAAGTGCAACAACAGACTATCACTCTATCATTGATTTGATGTAACTAATTGGAGATTAATGTGTTAGTTGGCGTGAATGTTTAAGAATGCATCCTTTTAATTCAAACAACTATAATCATTGTGGACAAGAAAGACTCTCCTCCCTTGGTCCTTTTTTCCCTCAAACTTCATACCTTTGAACTTACAAAATACATGCATAATAAAGGAGATAAAGCTTTCAGATTCATGGGGAGATAAGGGGTGGCAGTAGATTAGTATTGGAGCTTGATTCACTATCTTCTTTTTTTTTTTTTTTAAATGATACTGTATTCTTTACACTGCATCTTTCTTCCTATTTTTGTCCATATTCTTGTTTACCAGATGTGTGTTGCCTACTGGAAAGCATGGGTGATAGATAAATAGGGAAAGTTACTATGGTTGAGATGATTCTTCTATTGGTCAATGCCTGGGTCATTATCAGTGGTAGTATAATTTGCTTCTTAATTCTTCTTGGAGGTGGAATATGTGTTGAAGTGTTGCACTAGCTCTGCAAAATTTTCAAGGTTCAGCACATAGTCTACAATAGTGCTATGCCATTTCATTCTTTTTTTAACCTTTTTTCCCACTTTGCATCTCCTTTCTTTTTATGCTTATGCTTTTCCTGTCCAAAAGATTCTCCTGGAACAGAAAAGTGCTATCTTTGATATTATTCAAATTAATGGTAGCTTGTTTTTAGGATCTAGACTTTCACCAATACTGCAAAATTAATTGTGATAAGATGAGATTATCATTGTTAACATCACGAGCATTTAAGCAACTAGGAAGTTGCCTATTTTTTTTTTATCAAGTGGGCTCTTTGGTTCTGGATTCCCCAACCCAGGGGCTTGTCCTAATGATACTATTCATCTTTTGTGAAATAGTTCTTGACCTGCACTGCTATATGAGATGGAGAAAATTTTTTGACTTACTGCCTAAGCCGTGTTTCTTGATGATATACTTTCCATTTATAATTGATCAGGTACATTCCCAAATGATGGGCATGACACCTATTCGTGTGCCGCTTCCTCTCGATGCTGCACAAGATGAGCCTATATTTGTGAATGCAAAGCAGTTCAAAGCAATTATGAGGCGTAGAGAATCGCGTGCCAAGCAAGAGGCTCAAAACAAACTGTCAAAAAATCGAAAGGTTGGTATACAGTAGCTTCTATTTCCTCTCTGCAAGGGGGCATGGTTCTACCACTGGTTGACCAGATGCATCAAAAATTGGCTAATAGTTTCTATTTCTGAAAAATGTGTTTAGCCTTATCTCCACGAGTCTCGGCATCGTCATGCTTTAAATAGAGCAAGAGGTTCTGGCGGTCGTTTTCTGAATACAAAGGAACTGCAGGAGGCCAAGGCCGTTGCCAAGACCAATGACAAAGAAACCTCCGGTTCCTTGCAGCTCCAGTTGAACATGGAAACAACGGAACCTGAAGTTTGTCAGACAGGAAATAAAAAGGATGGGATCTCCATCACTGCCTGCTCGGACATCACAAGTGCTTCAAATGGTGATGATGCCCTCCAGCGTCAAGACTTCAGGTTCTCTGGGTATCGACCTCATGTTGGTAGTTTCGTAGCCAGTGGTGGGAGTGGTAGAACTGGTGGCGTTCAGCAGTTCCTCTCAATCCGCTGATGAGATTGGGGAGTCAAACTTACAGCTGTCCATGACTCGGCACTTCTCTGAGGATATGGCTGCTGGTAAAAGTGGGAAGTCATCCTTGGCTGTTTGGTTTGGTAATATTGTAGTGCATCTTCGCGTACAAAAGTAGCTTCATTGCGTGCATGGTTTCTGGAAGTTGTTTTTAAAACAAGAAGGCTTCATCAGAATGATATGATGAGTGGCTACTGTTATAATTCACTCAACTATTTGCAAAAGAGCACTTCAGTTGCTAATGGGTGGTAATGCTTTCTGTTCAGGGTTTGAGGTTGAAATGACGTAGTGGCTTTAAAGGCTTAGAGCCTGTCTGCTTACTCTCCCTGTTGGTTGGTCGTTGGCCGTTGGGTATAAAGATGCGGCTTTCAATAAATGATAGCATGAAAAAAGAATTATGGCACCAAAAAAAAAGGAGAAAATCTAATAGATAATCAATAAAAATTTGGCATTGTTACTGTAAAAGATTATCATATTTTTGCCGTTCTAATCATTCAAATTTGGTATATGGCTTGCTTGGGTACTCCTTTTTTGGCGAAATATTTCTCATCTGTATTTTTCAGTTACTTTTTTATTTTTACAACAAACTAATAAACTCACATGCATAAATAGTATTATAAAAAGTGCTACAATGTTATTTTGAAATAATTTTGAAATAATCTTCTATCATAATAAACAGCCAGCGTGCCATTTTTCTTCTAAAATTATAGTTGTGTCAAAACTTGAAAAGAAGGGCAGAAAAAACCTACATCACCCTTGAACTTTAAGTTTGTAATTTTTAACCTTCCAACTATTGAATGAATGCTTTTTCAACTCAACTACTAGGAATGCATTTTTTTTTTGTGTTTTGGTAATAAAAGGGACTATATAATGAAAAAACTTAAGTTATAGGTACAAAACGAGGGAAGCAAATTCTTTTAATATCTGCATCTACTAGATTTCTCAAATGAGGAAGGAAACTTTCATAATACACAAGATTGGTATCTTACTGAACATCCAGTTTCGTCAATCTGTCACTACATTGGTTTGCTTCTTGATAAGCAAGTCTAAGTATGACTTTCAGCAGAGCAAAGATCATGAACCTACAATCAGAGATAATTGAAGCATACTCATGAGTTGAGGTATCATGACGAAGTACTAGGAGTAGCTCGTTTAAGAGCAAAATGTTTCAATGACTCTCAAACTATTATGAAATTCAACTTTTAACCCTCAAACTATTAAGTGATAAGTTTTAGTCCTCTAATTAATTAAAACATTTAATTCTAACCCTTTCGTCAATTTGAGTCGTTATGTTTAACAAAGATAAAGGATTCATGAGATGTTAGTTACCCTCAAACTATTATGAAGTTCAACTTTTGACCTTTCAATTATTAACTAATAAGTTCTAACCCTCCAACTAATTAAAATATATAATTCTATCGTTTCTATCAACTTGAATCATTATATCGAATAGAAACATCTATTGATAAAGAATTTGGACTATGTCCAACCAAGTGTTTGATAAATTAAGAAGGTTTAGATACAGTGAGGTAAAGTTTAGAGGAATTTCATCAGAGAATTGATTATTTGAGAAATTTAGAAAATTCAAAATTGAAAGTGAACCAAAACTTGTTGGAATATTCCCAGAAAATAAATTGTATGCTAGGTTTATGCCATTAAGAGAAGCACATGAACCTAATGATTTTGGAACAATATCAAAAAATGAGTTAAATTCCAAATGAAGACAAATCAATTAATTCAAGTTGCCTATCGTTACTGGAATTTCTCCATTCAGGGTTTTGGGTTTTACGTTTTCAATTGATTTTGGTCAAATTCAGTAATTGAAGATTTGGTAAATTACTTTATGAGTCAAATGGGGTAAAATAATTTTACTCTAACACATGTTCTGTGAACACGAAAACACTCGTCAATTATGCCCTTATCACACATGTGGTGATGTTTTTGTTTGACGTAACGACTCAAATTGACGGAAAAATTAGAATTATATGTTTTAATTAGTTGAAGGAGTAAAATTTATCAATTAATAGTTAGAGAGTCAAAAGTTAAATTTATAATAGTTTGAGAGCCATTGCTACACGTCATATTATTTTTGTTAAACACAGCAGCGCAAGTTAACGAAAGGGTTAGAATTATATGTTTTAATTAATTAGAGGACTAAAACTTATCAATTAATAGTTAGAACCAAAAGTTAAATTTTCTAATAGTTTGAGGGTCGTTGGAACATTTTGCCCTCGTTTAATGTAACGTAGTAATATGTGTCTGCTGTTACCTTTTTCCTTCTTCTCTCTCCTTAAAAAAAAATATATAAAAAACAAGGACTGTGTTGTGCTAGACCGACTTACGGGAGCTTCGATACTGTATTTTGCATTGGGTTGGCAGTTTGGGCCACAGGAGGATTCATGGACCTGAAATCTCTAAGAAAACTCAAACCCACAGACACAGAGGGACCGCATTCTACGTAAAGAGAGCCCAAACTCCAAACCTCATAGGAAAGCGGGTTCTGGACTCGGACTCATCTCTCGTCCCTCCAATCTAGTTAAACCCGACCACATTCTTCAGATTCAAATCCGCTGGCTCAGCCTCAGCAGTCAGCCCTTAGCCGTCAGCTCCGCTCCTCAAAAATAAAAAATAAATAAACAAAACAAAACAAAACCTCGCTTGAAAGACCACCTGCCCTTCCTTCATTACGCCATTTCCTTAATTACTAGTAACTGGTGCTTCTACGAAAATTTCCAGCTTTAGAGCCTCCTACTTTTCTTGCTAAAATTTTCTTCTCATTTTCCATTTTCTACTCTTCTTTAAAATCCCAACAACAAAACCCTCCCCACTTTTCCCATTTGCTTCTAACCGCTACTCTGGAGTACTAGTAGTAGTTTTCGGGGAAAGAATAGAAAAGGTTGAATTTTGTAAGTGTGTCGTATATTCTTGAAAATGGACGGAGGCTACAATCCGCGAACTGTAGAGGAGGTGTTTAGAGATTTTAAGGGCCGAAGAGCTGGTTTGATTAAAGCTCTTACCACTGGTTCGCTCCTTCTGCCTGCCTCTCTCTCTCTCTCTCTCCCTTAATTAAGTATGTTTTTTTTTGTAAAGTTTGCTTTTTTTTTTCCTCTCTTTTTAACTTTCCGCGTGTTGTTTAATTTTTGTCGCAGATGTTGAAGACTTCTACCAACAGTGTGACCCAGGTATGAGTTCTTGCTTCCTCTACCTAAAGTTAGTTATAAATGCGAGAATTTTCAGGTTTTTGCTGTCACGGTGCTATGTTAAAATTCATTAGCTGGGGTGGGAAGGGGAAGGAGAATTCATGCGATGAGGCTTGAACCCTTGTTTAGACACGAAGAATAAAGACTTTTGACGCATGTCCGCTTTCTTACAGTTTGATGCAATTTACATATCCCGCCAAAAGGAAAAAAAAAAAAAGAAAAGGAGAAGAAGATGTTATACGCTCAGAATACGCATTATGGACTTCGTCAGAAATGTTAGAAGTTTAAATTTTGCCATTGAGCTGGAATCGGTTGTTAGAAAGGGGAGGCAGCAGTGGAAGAAAGCAATGAATTTAGTTTTTGGATGGTTGTTCTTCCCTTACCCACCCCCTCCCCAAAAAAAAAAAAAAACACATATGTGTGTCGATTGTATTTCAATTGTGTGTTGCATGTTTTCAGGAGCGTTTTTCTCATGCTTGACTCTTTTATTGGCTCTTGGTGTCTTGTGGGAACGGCTGCTATTTTGATTTTTAGTTGTTGAAATCTCCATGTGCAGTGGCATATCTAGTTTAAGAACGATGAGCTTGGAGGAGTAACTCTATCGATTAGCCTGTCTTTTTCAAAATTTATGGTGGTTCCTATCGTGGCTGATGTGTTAGTCTTCTTATTTGAAAAGTAGAAATTGCTAATGTCAATTATTCTTTGACAGTAGTGGAACTTAAATCCCAGTTGTTGTATTTATGTTGTTAGGCATGTTTATGAAACAATGTCATCTCCTTGTTACTGTGTGTGACTATTCCCATAGAAGTATTGAGGTTAAAGATTTTCATAATTGTAGCCTTGTCTGTTCTTTTGTGCTTTTTCTTCATATTAGGTGGTCTGTTGCTTACTCGGTATTGAAGAGGCTATGACTTGAAATTGCTCAGCCACGATGACTGCCAAACTCAATTTTATAGGTCCCTTTTATCTGTGCATGGGTTTTTCTTTCTAGTTTTTATTTGTTGGATATAGACAATCATATCTTGTTCTTCAAAGGAACTTATCTATGCGCAGCCCTAGTCCTTGCCTTTATGTTTTAGCATTAGGTTTATGTTTTAAAGTTTTAATAAATGTCTTGTAATTAAAGCTTTGGCTTGTTACCTTGACATGGAGTCTACTATTCTTCTGTGTATATTACACGGGATAGTCAGCCGTGTAATTTGCATTTGGTCTATTTTTTTTTTCTTGGTGCATGAGAATTATTGTAATAGTAAGTTTAACTTTTGAAATGTATGGGTGTAGAGAAAGAGAATTTGTGCTTGTATGGTTTCCCAAGTGAGCATTGGGAGGTCAATTTGCCTGCAGAAGAAGTTCCTCCTGAGCTACCTGAACCAGCTTTGGGGATCAACTTTGCTAGAGATGGTATGCAAGAAAAAGACTGGTTATCTTTGGTTGCTGTCCACAGTGATGCATGGTTGCTGGCCGTTGCCTTTTACTTTGGTGCTAGATTTGGGTTTGATAAAGCAGACAGGTACGTGTTTATTGACTTCTTGCTTTCATCAAAGAGCTTAAAGCTTTTGCAAATTTTAACAGCTAGCAAATTCATAGATTTCAGACTTTCAAAATATTTTAAGTGGTTCATGGACTTTTAGTTTCTTGGGGTATACAATAAACTCAATAATATTTCAGTTGTTAGCATCTAGCTGTGTAATATTGTTTGGATTTTGTCAGTTTAATCTTCTAGCATTTGAGTATCATTCAGCCAATGGTTATTTGCTGACCTTAGCTGCTTATCCTGCAAAGATTCTAAACTCGCAAAAAGGCAACCAGTGAATTTTGTTGAGCATAAAGAATTTTAAATAGGCTAAAGTTTATGCTCATGTCCTGATTATAATTCAGGTCTACTTTGCAATGCCACAGACAATATCGTATTTGTTTGATGTAGACAATTGACTACCTTCTGGTGGATTCACTTGGTTTCTCATAAATAGCTGCTGGGGGAGCAAATTCAAAATGGTACATTGCTCTCCACTGTCTTGAGTTTGGGCGCTTCATTCGCGGATGCATGTCAATTTTTTATTCTCTGTTTTTTTTTACAAGGAATAAGTTTTCATCTGTAGTTAGTGTCACCTGGGAAGAATTTCTATCCACTGGATTACCACCTTCTCATGGCTGCTGTGTTATCAAAGGGCCAAATTTTATTTTTGGACTGTAGGTGAGAGTGGTTACCTCACACATTCTTATTATCTGAAGGGGCTAAATAGACAAGGACAAAGGTGCAGTTCGTGGGTGATCATTAATTAAAAGTTCATGTAGATACATATTAGGTTCCTCGAAGATTTGAATTTTGATGCTATATTGCTCATATCTTCACTTCAACCACCTTCTCAGCCAAGTCAGCATGCCCCTTGCTTGAAATGTTAAAATTCGTTTGACATAATCAGAGAATTATATTAGAATGTTCATCTGACAATGAAACTAAGCTACTTATCAGATTTCTTGTAAGTTCCTCATTATAGTAGGTTCTTTTGAGGTTGCATTGCATGTGTTGCTTGAAGGACAGTAGCAGTTTTGCTTCCTTAAGTATTGACAAGCTGTATTGCAGTCTTCCTGATCTTCAGAAGCAGCAAATTTTGCTCTCATATTCTTGATCCTGTACTCGATGCTACACATCATTTCAGTTTTGACACATTGAGTCTCTGCTGTAACCAGCAAGAAGCCTGAAATAGCATGAGAGACAAATGTGAAGGATCAAATAGTGGAAGTTGAAACATTTCAGTAAATTGGGATGACACCAGTTGTTGGATATTGAAACATGGGGGACTAAGTTGTGATTGGTTTTAACATGTAAACTAATATCCTTTGACTGATTATTTTTATCTATCCATGTCTTTTGCTGTAGGAAACGGCTTTTCAGTATGATAAATGACCTCCCTACTGTATTTGAAGTTGTCACTGGTGCTGCCAAGAAACAACAGAAAGAGAAATCTTCGGCACCAAATCACAGTAGTAGCAAACCCAAGTCAAATTCCAAAATGGTAGAGTTGGATTTTCTGGTGATGGCTTTATTTTATTTTATTTTTGGATGTTTAATAGCATCTCCATCATTTTCCTTTTGTCTTCCTGTCACTTTAACGTTCTTGACCTGCACTCTAAGTACATTCCTTTCACTTTGAAATAATGCTTTGGATGCTGGATTCTTAATCCTTTGCACAACCATTTCTTACATGTCTGAAATGCTCTTCACTTTTTATGTGACACAAGCTGCTGGCATCTGTATCGCAGGGAAAATATTCAAAGTCACAGCCTAAGGATGAGGAGGAGGTATTAGACGGGGAAGATGAAGAAGAGCATGGTGACACCTTGTGTGGTGCCTGTGGTGAGAATTATGCATCGGACGAGTTCTGGATATGTTGTGATATGTGTGAGAAGTGGTTCCACGGCAAGTGTGTGAAGATCACCCCTGCTAGAGCTGAGCATATCAAGCAGTATAAGTGCCCATCATGCAGCAATAAGAGACCTCGCACTTAACGAGTGATGTAACGTAGTTTTCATCTACTTTCAGCCTCTTGATGTGCTCCGTCTTGTCTAAGCGGTTAGGTTTCTTCTGTGTTTCGGAGCTGTATGTAGAGCTAACCTGTGAGTTCATACTTTTTTCTCCAGGAAGACATTATTTTGTGCTGTGGTGTTGCCATTTTGTTTGTACTTCGGCTAATTTAGTCCCCGTTTTACTGCTAAAAAGGGTTACATTCTCCTAATTTTAGTGCTAGGGCGGCAGGAACATTTTGTTGATGTTCTCCTGTTGGGAGTTTTGACAGTCTCTCCTTGCAGATGTTAGATCACCATTTCTCGACTCTGGAAACGCGTGCCGTTAGCTATTAGTTTTTTTCTCCATAACAAATGATCGTACCGTGTCTCAGATTCATGTCCTTAGCTCTTAGTCTTCTCTCCATAGCTCTGGCTTCCGTTGGTTAAAGCGCACATTCTAGACAGATGAAAACTGGCCGAGTAACTTGCCAATCATTTCGAACTCACCTGAAAGGATCGACGGACAGCGAAGAAATACATGGCATCGAACTAACAAAATCTTTTTCATCTGGCAATGTACCTCTGCTGCATGCCCGAAATGGATTGTAGTGCAAAATTGGAATTAAGCGAGTCTCGCATCTCTGCTTGTAATTATGGTTTTACCGAATGTTTACAAGGTTAGAAGAATCGGCACGGGAGATGATGATCCCGGTGTGCCGGACGAAAGGAGGCTCAGTGGTTCCATAAAATAATTTGTGGATTGTTATGCCTGGGACAAACATAAGACGCCATACTGGACCGTACAAAATTCTTTTTCATAACCCTTGATGCCTTGTACAATATCGATCCAAATAAAAAGCTAAACATTTAACCAACGTAAGCAACAAAATACTCTTTAGCCATTTATTTAAAGCAAGCATCTTGATCTGATAAGTGATCGGTTTCGCAGTACAGTTCTGTAATCAGTGCACGAAAGAGATTTAACCATGGACTAATCAGTGCCCAACTCCATTCTATGGTTTTAGTATTTGGCTATTATCCATGAAGACTGAAAAGAAGCAATCCCTCCACGCAAAAGGAGCTCACATTTTGGCAGCCACTTCCGATCGACTAGAGCGAAGCTGGAAAATCCGACTTTTAGCTAATAGAGGGGACCTCCCAATAAAGAGTTTCGAGTTCCAAAAAGTTGTGGAATATACTCCAGAGTATGCATCATGATGCAGGAAGGTATGTGTGTGGGAGTCGAAGAAATAGAATGGTATGTACATTAAAGTTGTACGCATAACGAAACTAGCAGCTGCACACATAGACTGCCATTTTGGTTAGGGTGAAGAGTTCTAGTTCAAGCAACAGCAGGAAATAGAGACAACTTTAGAGTTGAAAACAACCAAAAGATTTAACATTGCATTAGTTGAAAGAGGAGAAGACAAAACTAAGCTTATGCCCTGTTTGTTTTATTTCGTAATTCGTATGTTCATCATGTCAAACCCTCTTGATTCTTGGCTGAGAGCCGTTTCAAGAACTCATAGGTAGTTATCATTGTGGTGGCAGACATGGACATTGAAGCCCATCGTGGCCACAGCCCTCTGTAGCAAGCCATCAAACCACCTTCTCTTACCAAATTCCTGAACGTGTGTCCAATGGTTGGCCCCTTTCGGCCATTTTCGTCCCCATCCAGAACCTGCAATCTGGTCTTTATGGTATCCAAAGGCATAGTAATCACCGCGGAAACTCCTCCAGCCATGAATGCACTGACCCCTTGAACAGCTATTACAGTTTTACAATCAGGCCTTAAAGCACTAACACCATTTTCAAACATATCATCATCTTTCTTGCACAAGTAAAATCCAATTCCATCCCAAACCAGCCTCTGAGCAACAGAGTAGGATGCCCACCAAACTGCATTAGAAGGAGCATAAGTCAAGATCGAAATCCCAAATCCCCTGTAGAGTCCTCTGAGTCCATCCGAATTTAGGATCTTCCTGAAGGCATCAATTCCATTCAGATACTTGGTCGAAGATAACGAATTACTAAATTTGTGTCGATTACCACCTTGCACCATAAGGCGCTGGCTCACCACATCAATTGGGGTCCAAACCATTTGTGCAGCCACTGCAGCACTTAATCCAGCAGCAGCATTAGCCATAGCAGCTGCAGTCGAGTCTGGAAAGCCAACTTTAATGGCAGTAGTCCCCACATTACTCTTGGTAATCTCCAAGACGGCCATGTATAATGCCCTGGCGGGGATTGTACCCATTAAAGAAGTCCCAAATCCTCTATACAAACTGCGAAACCCCTCATGTCTAACAACCCAAAACGCAATCCTAATGGTAGAAACTTGAGATTGGGCCACCTGTTGCCTGGTTTTTAACACCACTATAGGATAAAGAGTAGCTGAAACACCGGAAAAAAAGGCAGCTCCGAGGAAGAAAAACTTGGATTTATCCAGCATTTTCCAATCTATATCCGCTGGAATTTTTACTTCTTGGGACGATTCTTCTTCTTCTTCAGCAGCATCCAAACTCATCTTAGCCACTTTCAAAAATCCCACTTTTTTTTTTCCCTGTCAACTACTGTTGCTCAAAAAATTTTCATTCTACTAACTTGACCTCCATCTCTAATATGTCTATGAAAACAAGTACAAACCCATATCCATTAGATCATCAAACATCTTAAAACCAACAAAAATATTATTGTTACTATCACACAAATCCCAAAAAGTCTGGTCTTTAAAGATTTTTTTGGAACTGCAGTTACTGCAAGCTCAGAAAAAAGATCAAAACTTTATCTGCTGCTGGAGCTACTACTATTCACAAGTGCAGGAGAAAGTTGAGGTCAAAATCCAAAGAGGGCCCTTTTTTTTCCTCTTGCGAAGCCATTTTTGGGATCTAACGTGAACAATAGCATACGGGTCTAACATTTTTGGATGGCTCTAACCGGCAAAAAAAGGTACATCATCTTCGACGGAAACGAAACGGTAGACCTGATTATATCAATACTACTGGAGGTATCGGATCTCGGACTTGTTCAGAAACTACAATGGAAATAAGCGGCTTAGAGGAGGAGAGAATAATCGGCAAGACCGAAAGGCCTGTTGGCGGAAGGTAGTGAGAGCGAGACGGGAGTGGAGGATGAAGAGAGAGGCTGAGGATTTTACTTTTTATTCTTTTTAATTGTTTGCATCATTGCATGAATGATGAGAGAGGGGAATGAAGTCTCAAGATTGCCACGTGCAGATGTCGGATTGGTGGAATAAATTTAGTTAGACGGTTGGTTTGGTCTTTTCAATGAGATAGTGGGTTTGTTTGTCTGTACTGCGATCTGACAAAGACCCGCGGATGACTGGCCCACCAGTTCTGACGTGTGAACCTTATCCGCACTCACACCTGGTGGCGGTGGGATCATGCGTTTGCCGGTACGGTAGAGTAGAGTATTATTTACCGACTCAGCTACACCATCGTGTCATTGTCAAGGTTCAGATTTACCGTACGTATTTTCTTGTTCTAAGTACATGCAGAGTATAATTCAAGAAAATTTGTAATTGCTCGTAAAACTCAAGACTAATTTCAAAAAGCAAGAGCTTCCGCCCAGCCGGAGAAGATCCAATCATCAGGGAGAGCTTTTTTTTTTTTTTTTTCTTTTAAACTTTGTTATATACCCTATTTGTTTAGTGCATCACACAAGAATTGTATTATTTCTTATATTTAAAAAATTCAAAGAATATAATAACGCTGTTGTGTGATTTGATACTCTATCTCTTAACCTCCACACGATTCTCTTTAAACTCTCCATAAAGTATATTTAACTCCAATTCACGCCTCCTCAGGCTCCCTCCCTATAAACTTTCCCCGTAGAGTGTATTTAATCCTAATACGAGTCTATTTCAGCTCCCTCCCCATAAAGTAAGAATATATTAGGTAGTTGCCGTTACAAAAAAAAGAGAAAAAAAAAAAAAAACTAGAGCCAAAACATGACCATATTGATCAATTGAGAAAAGCTTGTAATATTTGGTTCGAGCATGTGTATTGCAGGAAGGAGTTTTTTATTACAAGCCTCAATATGCCCAATCCCTTTGTTTCTAGAATTTTAGATTTATTTTAATCCATAAATATTTGATTCTACAATTTCACTACAATCAAACCATTTAAAACTATTAGTTACTAGCAATGTAACTTTTCTCGATTTCCAATTGCTATGCATGTTTAGCTAATCCTTATCCCATCTCACCATTTCAAATTTACGTGATCCTTATCCGTTAATCTTGTGAACTAATCTGGCACACAGAAAATTGAAATAACATCTACAAAATTTCAGTTTAGAACTCCATTCCAATTACAATTGGTACAACTCAAAAGCATGTTATTTTGCATATCCATCGGAAGAAGAAGCTTGATTCTACCCTACCAGAAATTTGGTCGGTTACAAACAAAACCATTCAGCCTTTTTTTTCCAAGGAGACAGCAGCATCGAACTTCTTAATCGCCTTCGACGTGCATATAGCAACTCTTAAACGACGACTGACTCAATGTGAAACCTAAAATGTTAATTTTAGAAAGGACTCCTCAGAGACAGAGGTCGGAATTTCTCGATGACCGTATACGTCAGGAGTCCATCCAGGAAAGTGTGGTACATCCTCTTTCCCTCTCCCGTTTGCAGAAGTCCCAAGTACTCTGAATGAGCCTCACGAAGCCCAGACTGCACGGGGTGGTTCATGCTAACCACCAGACTGACCGAACCACATACACAAGAAGGCACCCTTAGCTTCGTCTTCACCTCTGCGAGCCACTGCATTTCCGCCAGTGGACAGCATCATGCGGAACAAAGCCCATTCACTATCATTAGTTCTTAATCGTTCGTCGACTGCCTCGAGCCAGCAAGATGTCTCTCCCGAACCACGTAAGAGGAAGAGGGGTGCTGGGTAGATGAAGTTTGTATGATCTATCACCGATCAGCACCAGTTACTATCACGACATTGGCACTCCCATATATTTAGTCCCTAGAATATTGCATAAGCTCAAACCACTGCACGTAAAATACAGAAAAAATTGGTTAAGACTCGGATCATAATATATAGTATTCCATACCTTTTAGGCCTGAGAGAGACAGAGAGAGAAAGAGGGGGGGGGGACAAGGAGCACATGTAATTACTTGTCTCAATAGATCAGCAAGTGTTCTAGGTAGTGCCTCAATGTTCTTCAGAACCACATAATACGGGAAAGGAAAGGAATCTAAATACTTGGAGAACTTGACATTTCCACCTTGAAATGTTGCTTCCTGGAGGAACAAACAAGTGAGTCATCCTTGAGACTGAAGAGACTTTAGTTCCAAAAACTTGAAAAGACAAAAATACAACCAAAATATAAGGCAAAAAGTGTTACCATCAGGTCCATGATTGACTCTTCAGGGCTATCCAGTAACAAAAATGCAACCATACGTTTTCTACTCAAGATATCTCTCACACAACGTTTAAGGTTTTCCTAGAAATATTCGACGTAAAAAGAGAATAAATGAGAATGAGAGGATAAGTGACAAGGTTGGATATTTGATGAATGGATTGTGAAATACCTTCTCATGGAACCTGCCATCTGCAATTATCAAAACAAGTTGCTGCAGGGGATTATGTCCTGAAGGTAGTCGTGCATTTGCTACTGCAGCATCCAGCATATTGTTCAAATATTTCAATAGATCAACTACTGGTTCATCAGCTATTGTATTCTCTTGACTAAATGTCAAGCTTGAGATCATCTATTCCCAGAAAAGGCAAATATCAGCCAAAGTAATCCAGTTTCACAACAATTATGTGCAGCTTAGATCTCATCTAAACAATTTTTAACTTGAAGCAATCAAATAGACCATTCAAAAGCATGATCTACAGACAGTTGATCAAGATTGGAAAAAAAAAAAGAACAAAAGATGGACTGAGATGTAGTGTCAGCTTCTCATTTACTTGTCAGGAGGAAAAAACTGACCTTTATACCAGCTTCTCCAGTAAATGGCTGATCAAAATCATGGAGCAATCTTATGTTGCCCTTCTTCCCAAAGCTTGCAACAGCTAAGTTACCAACTTCCAATTGAGACATTGCACGACAAACTGTGACCAAAGCTTCAATAGCTACATCTCCGCAACGACTTTCCTGCATACTACGGGAATCATCCACAGCAATGACCACCTGGTAATTGCGTTTATTTGGCCGTGTCCTCCTTAGCCATATTTTGTCTTTACGGTAATGACTTGCAATATAAGGAATCACCTGCCAATTTACACACGTTGTAATCGTATACCTTTCAGGTTTAAAGTATCTACACCATGTAAAGTCAATAGGTATCATACATGCTGTGTTTTCTTTTCTCAGTTTATATAATATGCCAATCAAGTTCCAGTCTCCCACCCACCCCAACCCAAAGAAGCACAGAGAAAATGGTAATGTGTATCTGTCCAGCATTCTTCTTGTCATCTTCTGAACACAAGGAAAAATTTTTTTTCCACTTCCTTCCTTCTCTTCCAGAAACAAGGTATTTCATTTGAAAAACCACAGAAAGTGAGAATGAGTTTAGAAATATAAGCACTATAATACGCACCTTCTTCATGTTAATCCTTTTGCCAGTCTTGTAATCACCCTGGAGCTTGCTAGCTAAAGTGGGTTCCATGACAAGCCGGAGCTGTTCAGCCAACTCTTGTGACAATCTTGTAGTGAGTAGTTCATATCTTCTCCACACTGTAGCAGCATTATGTCTCACATCACTGGAAATTTCTTCAAGAAAATTGGCCTTACCAAGCTCGTCATCACTCACAGAAAGCTTGCTGAGTTGATTTATGTCCTCAGTCAAGTAAGACCTATTGATAGACACCAAACTCTGTGATAACCTCGTGTCCTCATCATGATTCCCATGAAGTCCTGAAGATTCCTCTGAATGCTTCCCTAAGTCCAAGCTTTCTGATTGTCTTTCCAAATCATTTCCATGATTCAAAGCCGAACTCAGCATATGTTGTCTGTCAGATGGCTGATTTTCAAACTCCATATCAATGCCATGGTCTACTCCTTTAGTTTCAGTATCTTTTTCCAGATCCTTTCCACTCATATTTTTGTCAATCTGGTCATTTGTTGCTGGTCCAAGTGTTTGGGCTGTTCCCTTCTCAAATTCAGCAGTGTATCCATATTCATTTGCATTTTCCTCATTGAAATCACCAGTGTCATTGACATTTTCCTCAAGATCCATAGACACTTTAACTCGTTCTTTCCATCCATCAAGTGCATCTCCAACACTACGCAAAGGATTTGGTTTTGTTTTCTGAATTGAGTCTTCCCTTAGTGGCATAGGCGCATCAAAACGACTATTGCCTAGTTTGCTACCATTTGATGTGTCAGTAACAGGAAGTTCAATGGCAGAGGAATCAGGTAAGCCTCTGATAGGAGCAAGATCATCTTGAACATCACTGGCATCTGACCATTTTGCTTCTGGTACAACATCACCCAAACCTACAGCACTAGATTCTGCATTTGGTTTATTTGCAGATTGCAAAGTTGAAATATCATCATTCATTTGCTCAGAAGTTCCCATTTGCAGAGGTTCCTTTGGCTCCCCAGAGCCCATTGTATCATTTTCATGATCACTTTCTTGGCTGTCTGTCAAATTGTTAGAACCTTTCTCATCCAAAGTTCCATCCATTTCAACATCCTTTTCCTCCTCGTTCTCACTGTCAGCTGGATCTTGTAGTTCTTCCATTACATGATCTTCCATGAGTTCAGTTCCGTTTGCTTCATCTTCATCAAAATCTTGGTTTGGCTCATCAATCTTCAACCCACTAGGATCTGAGTATGCATTGTCTTTGTCCATCATCGCATCTTCCTTGCCGTCAGGAGCAGCTTCTTCTCCATTTTCCACATCTTTTTTGTCAAATTCTTCAGGATTGTTCTCCCCAGCTTCATCAACAGAAACTGGATCTTGCTTAGCTCGAAGCTCCCTATCATTAGTTTCATAGTCTTCCACTGGTGGCCCAGACTCATACTTCTCTTCCATGCCCATGGGATTTTCATCATCACTCTTCTCCCAGGGTTTCTCTTTAGCAATTTCACTATCAGCACCAGTTTCCCCCATTGCAGATTCCAATTGCTCGTCTCCACTGCCACCATAATCATCCATAGGTTCCTCATTAACACTAAGGACATCAGTACCAAAATCATGTTCCATCTCTATTCCTTTATCACTTCTACTTGGAGGATCACTTAAACCATCCTGCCCCTCACAATTCTGTGGAAACAGGGAAAAGAATGTCATGAAGCTTGCGCAAGGATCTTTCTTGAAGGAAAAGAATAGAAGAGAGCAACATAGAAAGTTCTATAACCCTGGGGCTTCCATACCTTTTCAGAAGTCCCAAGAAGTTGATCTTCATTATTTATCTGATCACTGACATCATTTAGTCCTGCACCCTCACCCATACCGGTTCCACTAGCATCTTGTCTTGTTTCACATTCAGATTCCTTAACTTGGTCTTCTGGAATGCCAAATCCTTTTGCAAATAACAAAGCAAAAATCTCTGCAAGCACATAAGTCATGACTGAGACCTGCATACAAAGTAGACCCATTTAGGTAACCAATGTTAATGGAGCATGTATACAAAGGGAGAGAAAAAATTCAAGAAAGAGACAAAAAAGGAGACTCGATTGCTTAATCCAGCCTATCCTTTTACAAGAAAGGCCTTAGGCCACCCATTACACCTACTCCAGATCCCTCTGTAACTAGAATGCGGCACATAAAGGAGACTGGATTGCTTAATCCAAGAAGGCAGAATACATTTCATGTAGCTTAGGTTCACTGCTTTCTAACAGAAGGAAGATTATAAATCAATTGAGATCAGAATGCATTTGACATTCTTACCATCCTATGCATATTGAGAAAATCATGCAGAAGACCATCACCAAAGGCCAAGATCACGTTTAACAATGAGTATAGAATCCTCAAATGTGCTTGAAAAAGAGAGCATGTATTTGTCTTACTGCAATGGTTCAGCTGCTCTCCCTGATAAAGAACTTACCAGTTAGAATTCAAACAGAAATCTGAAAGATATCTTATGAGATCAGTTTTTAATTTAAGACCAGTGATTGAACTGGAAAACTTACAGCATTATTAGTTATCTGCACCAATTTGTCACAGATAAAGTCCAACTTCAAGCGTTGAGTATCTGCTTCGAAAAAGCTTTTCCATTCACTAATATTGCTTGGTGACTCTTCACCAAAAACAGGTCCATTCTTCTGTGAGAGCATCACATGGAATGCATCTGATATACTTCTATATATTTCCTTAAATGGATCCAGGAAGCCCACTCCAATAGTGTTTTCTATATGAAGGTTGGCATCTTCAGAAACATTTTCTGATTGCTTTCTTGCTTTCAAATCAGAACTATACTGTTCGGCCATGAAACTAGCCTGAAAATACATAGCCAATAAATTGTTAAAAGCAGACCACTCTCAAGAAATTGAGAAACAAAAATTGTAATTAATTACGCATATCCATCAATTTACAAATGGAACTTAAAAGTACCTTCTCAAAAACCTCTTCGAAGTGTCCAAGTAATATTGCTTTAACTGTTGCTCCCTCCCTGTCTTCCCTGCTAAAAGCACTGAGGTTGTCCTTAAATGTTCTTATCCACTTGAAGTTGTCATTTACCAATTGTTCCATTTGTTTTGTAACACCATATGGAAGCAGTAAAGCTTCACAAGTGGCTTTAGCTCTGTTATCGCCAAGAAGATGAAGATCCAGCAGACCCTGTTTTGGAAATATCATTAGCTTAGATATGCAAGCATAACATCAATGGGAAGAAAAGTATGAACAAGAGTAAGTACCTTAGAGCTCTGAAGCTCCGGGACAAATTTCTCAATGATGCAAAAAATCTGCTTAGCTGTATCTTTGACGTTGGAACAGGAGTTTAAGTGATTATGCTCTACCTTTTGTACCAACAATTGCACTTCAGATATCATGGTAGACAAATTGTCAAGAAGTTGCTGCAATGAAAAAGGTGAAGTTACAGCAGTCATCAACAATGCAAAAATGACATTTTAGACTATACTGAGCCACAAGTCCAATGTCTACCTTCTGCTGCCACATGCAATTAAATATGACATTTTGGTTCTCAGGAAAGGACCATTCACAACTGGCTGGTCCCAGAAAAGAGTCTGGGAACAAATTTGCTAAAGGCCAAAGACATTCTCTCAGATCTTTAAGTTCCTCCGAAAAATGATAGGCAGCAGCACGTTGATCTTGTTGAATTGCAATGAGGTGATCAAGGAAAGAACAGGACCTTTTAACCTATACAAACAATAGGATCTGAGATGATCAAGAAAAGAATAGGACTTTTAAACAATACAAACAACAGGATTCAACAAAATAATGTGCATTTTAAAGGTGAAAACTCCAGCTCAAACACATAGGAGAAAAAGGTGTAGGTTGTGCTGTTTAACCCGATGCATAATCTGGATCAGAGACGTGTGATACATGCAATACATGTTAACATTTTCGTTGGTCTAAACAGGTTTCAAAATTGTATACAAGCTGGGTTGTTCGTTTCCATGATGGCTCGAATAATGTTGTTACTGTATGCAAGCTCGGTTGTTCATTCCCAAGTTAGTTTGAATGAATTACTTCATTAGAGATGTATAAATCAGTCCATGTACCCGAAACTTTCTTATACTTCATTGCTTGAAAAGATGACAAGTTGATGAATTTGAATGTTCTCAAGCATGACATTGCAATCGTATGAACCAATCTTTGATAAATTTTATGAAGCCAACTCAGATTGAATTGGAATTTCCTTAGTTTATTATTTCCAGGCTAGTCTGTAAACATAACAGTCAAGAACCCAATATTATATGCCTGTGCCAAAAACCGAGCACATATCATTGCGTATTCTCTCGTTCTTTTGTATTTTTTGGGAAAAGGAGGACAAGCTCCAGATGCTTCCTTCAAAGTAAGGCCAATTATTCTTGAGCAATTTCATTGCCCTGCACCTCCCTTAGGAGCCAATGAGTTTGTATCTTTAATTTGATTTAATTGTTTAATTGTTTTTTTTTGGGGGGG